AGCTAACCGATCACAGCACACACTGGCCCAGCTAACCAATCACAATGCACACTGGCCCAGCTAACCAATCACAACGCACACTAGCCCAGCTAACCAATCACAGCACACACTGGCTCAGCTAACCAATCACAGCACATTTTGTATTTCAGAAGGCGGGCCTTCATTTGATACAGGAACTATTCGAGCCGTCCATGCCAGACTGGTGAGAGAGGTGTTGTAATAATGTAAAATATGTGAAAAATAATGTGTTTTTCGAACAACCTACTGTAGTATGAGAGCCTGTTCTTGTAAATATGATAAATGATTGTTGTATCTGATTATATTCGTTTATATATATAGAGTGATAGTCAATGTAAAAAGAGCAAATGGGAGAAGCAGATGAACACAAAACACTTTGTCTCCCTTATATGATCTTACTCCACGCATGTATTAAATGTGCTCAGTTTTCTAGAGGATTTCTTTAACTTCTCAGGTAATATCAATGGTATGACCTATTTCAGATGCGCAGAAATTACAACAATAGTGGTTACAGACACATATATATTTAATTGTTCAATCAAAATTATTGCTAAGGGGGCCCTATGCACTGCCCTGAAGTTTGAACAACATTGATGACAGAAATGTAATGTTTTGGCTGAACTGGAGATTGCTGGTGTGTGTGAATATTCGACACTAGATGGCGACAGAAACCTGAAGAACTTCAACAAACAGATAATTAAACACCAGTCAACCATTACTAGTGCTAGTAATACTGATCAACCAGGGGTTAAGGGCCACTAGGGGCCCTCAAGATGATGTAAAATTATTTAAAATAAGACAACACACGCATGAAAATGAGCTAAAGTAATTGAAAATTAAGATATTTCTTATATCAATGTACCATCCCAATATCTGTTGTTGTTGTTTGTTTTAAAAAAAATCTGGATATATGAGGAAGCCTCTCTTCAGAAGTCAGAGAAATTAATCAAATCTTAAAATGACATGAGCATTATTATAATGAACATACATTTTAATATTTATGCTAGGATCTCAGGATAAATCAAGAGTTTAGTTAGAATAATTAGTTAGAAAGAGAAACATTTAGCGCCTAAAACTTCTGAGTCTGAATTATTTTCATTATTTTAGTGGCATTTAGTGACACGAATGATTCCTCACATCATACTTGAATGTCTGCTGGGTGTTTGTCTACAGACATCATCATCATCATCATCATCATCAGAACACCTACAGCTGCTACAGTTTCATTTCATCTGATGATTCTATGAGAATCCAGCAGAAAATGATCTGAAACCAGATAAAATCAGATAACAGACGGCAGAGTGTGTGCCAGCACTGTGAGACGCACACACACACACACACACACACACACACACAC